CATGGCCATCCACTCAAGAAAGCATTGACATAAAAGAAGGGAGAGACTGAGCATGCAGACTAATGAACATGAGAAGTGAGGGAACTTACAGTCAATGAACACTCATTCCTTTCTTTGCTAAAATGTAGATATACTAAGACACTCTGGTTCTTGCGGTGCTGGCTTTGTGAATTTGTCCCATTTCTGCACAGAACTGTAAATAATTACCTCCACTCAGTGTGTGGATCGGCCTCTTGAACAACACGTGCTAGAACCAACCAAGCTGGAACAACACTTGCTATCGCTCTGACACCTCCACTCTCATCGCAGCTGCCGAAGGGTCTGACCAGTCCTGCTGTGTGCTGGTGACAATGGCCACGTGTCCTTGGAAATGGGGAGTTCCAGGTTCCAGGCTGGGTGGGATGTCACTGAGGAGCGGGACACGACACAGCTGGGGAACAGGAAGTTCCCAATGGGCACACATGGGGAATGCCTTGCCTTATCCCATGACTGACTCAGCTCACTTCCAAGTGCAGAAAGGGGTGCTCTGGCCACACCAGTTCCTGCAGTAGCTTTGCAAACCAGGGCTAATGAAGTGTTTCTGCACAAAAGTGCTGCACTTGGCTCTCTCTGAGGCAAAGGAGCAGCTTAACACCCCTAACCAGGTGAGCAAGATGCAGCCCCCCCAGCACTGGGCGATCCTGTCATGGGCCAGTCAGTCTGTGAGGCTTCCAGCACCTACACAGTCACTCAAATATTATCTCTTTGACAAAACTCCCTGACCTTTCCTCATCCCAGTCTCCTAAAAGGAAATAAGCCAGCAGCATGCCCAGGCCCCCATGTGCTGTGCAGGAGGAGCTGACATGGAAAGGCCCACGCTGGCCCTGAGCACAGTTACAGGTTGATAATTATGCTGACTGCAGCTGGCCATTGAAGTTACTGACACATGTAGATAAATATTTTATAATCAGTTTATGATCATTTTATTGTCATTTTCCCCATACCCAAGATTATTCCTGATTTAAGTCAGCTGGCACCAAAAATAAGTGTTGTCCAGTCATTACAGGGAGAGAGAATAGGAGCATGTAGTTGAGAATGTGTTGAATATTTCCATCCAAAGCACATTTTCAATGACATCTTGTATTTTTTTTTCAAGACCATGTCTATATCTACCCATGTCTGATCTCCTGGCTGCCTCACTCACAAGGACAGTGCAGTTCCAATTTGTCAAACACCAGAACCCACATCTGTGTCCCTTTTTGGGAATGACTGGATGGTGTTGATTATGGATCCCCAGTTATGAACTATTAGAAAAGCCTGTGTATGAGTCATTAAAGGAATCCATGGAGGTGTTACACTGGACTCCGGAATGTCCAATAGCCTTTCTATATATTTTAAAGGTTATTGATGACAACTCCTGCTCTGGAGTTACCAGATGTGACTGACCCCTTTGCACTGTTCATACATGAGTACTTTTGCCTTGCACAGTACCTCCATCTTTAGCTCAAAGAATGGGAATGAAGGAATTAACCCTGTGGTATTTTGAGCCTATTTCTCAAAAGACAACTAAACAATGTACTAGAGGGATGGCCAATGCACCTAAGAGCAGGAGCCACCATGGTCCTGATTGATAGAATATACTTGAAAATAAATGGGAAAAAAATATGACAGTTTATGTGCCACACATGGCTATGTCTTGTGTAGAACAAAAAGGACGTCACTGGTTGTCCCTGAGCAGAATCTGAAAGTAACAGGTGGTAGTCCTGGAACAAAAGACCTTGAGACCCAGGCCCCTCAAAAACTTTCTTTGTCCTTGCAGCACATGTGCCTACATGTGGGTCACCTTCCTGCCAGTTCAGAATGTGCAGAACTGTACCTAAGTACTACTTCTGTTCAAAGTTTTCTAGAGGCAAAAAGGGAGCTGGGACAGGGGCAGTGGGGGAATGTCAATAAGTAGTAGATTGTCCTGAAGTCCCTTTTGCCGGGCAGATGCCGTGGGGGTCTCTCACCCAGAAGAAGAGCCAGGACTCGCAGGGCAGATCCCGTGCCCTGGATCTGGCCAGGACAGGGGTAAATTTTGCAGCAGCCAGGAGGAGCACGGCCAGAACCTTGGGGTAATTGGATATCACCTGCCACGTGGCAGGGGGAAATGGAAGGGATTTGCTCTTCCTTTGCTGGTGTGCCGTAAGTCATGGGGTGTGCCAAGTTCTGTATAGTGAACAATCATGTGTGACTCGTTCACCTCTTGTACACTCTCCTTTTAGTGTTGTTATTACCATAAGGCTGGGCAGTTATCCCAACTGGGCCAAGAGTAGTCCCAGAATCACTCTTACGTGAAAAAGTGGATTGCAAACACAAAGCCATTAATTGGAGTACTGAAAACTTTTGAAACATTTTCAAAAATCTATAACTGGGTCTGAAATGACTCAGATTGTACAATCAAGACTTCAAAAATGTATAGTTTCTAAAAGAGACAACCCTAACACAGCTTACAATGTAGTGCTGAGTGCCATAAAATCTGGAGATGTTCCAAGTGAATAGTGGCAGATGGATTTTACAGAATTTCCCAGAAAATAGGGGTATAAATCTCTCCTAGTTTGGTGGATAGCTTTTCTGTGTGGCCAGAAGACTTCCCTTGTCACACCGACCAGTCTAGGGAAGTGGTTAAAATATTGTTCAATAAAGTAATACTTAGATTTGAGGTACCTTTAGGAATGTCATCAGATAGAGGTTCCCACTTTATTGCAGAAGGGTTACAAGAAGTTAGGAAAGCCTTGGGAATAGCTTGGGATCTTCATACTCCTTACAGGCCCCAAGCTAGTGGCAAAATAGAGAGAATTAATTATACAATCAAATTGAACTTGGGTAAAATATGTTAGGAAACCTCCGTGACATAGGTCCAAGCTTTATCTGTTGCTCTAATTTAAATTGGAATTCAGCCATGGGGCACCAGCAAAATCTGCCCCTATAAGCTGCTGCATGCTTGACTCTACCAAGTACCACATGTTTCAGGAAACATACACATATAAGAAGAGGTTGATTTGAATAATTACTTCATTTCTCATAGAAAAACTTTACAGGATTTACAGCGTGAGCAGTTCTGATCTCCAGACCAACAGGATTGGACATACCAGTGAACCAACTAAAAGCTTAGATGTACTTGAAAGATTGGGGAAACTGCTCTGCTATAGCCAAAGAAGGACCTTTCCAAGTTCTGCTGACAATTTTACTGCATTGAAATTGACAGAGTAAAATCATGGATACATTATTCCAGAATCAAAAGAGCCAAAGCCCCTTAGCTCAAGACAACATCTCCCAGGGATTTGAAGAAAGCTGGAGCAAACTTACTTCATGGTTACCCAGCTGGACTTGGTTAAAACATTGGTCTATAGCTGTTGTAATGCCTTATGCTTTAAAATGAAATAAAGGTATTAAGAAATTAGTTCCCATATGGAACTTTGTCTCAAGAAAAGGGGGGACTTGATAAGGACCACAGCACAGCTGTGGTAGTCTGTTATTTTACAGTTTGTTCTTCTGTATATAAGTTTGTAATGGTTCATTCTGTGTAGCCCATTTGGCTTTCCTAATGGTTCAGTCCTGAGTTTTCCCTGAGTTTACCACAGTTTTCCCTGCCAAAATGTATGTCAATCCACTTGTCAATCCACCTGTATACCTCCCTTGTTCCCTTGTTTTACCCCTGTCTGTCAAAGATAGCACACTCCTTTGCTCCTGGAGTGTTCCCTGTCTTTCATCCCTTCCCCGAAGCAGAATTGGATTGTCAGGTTCGCTCCCTCCCCGTGTTGGCTTCTCTTGGGAAGCTCTTACCCTGCACCCCTCCCCTAATGCCCTACTATTACTCACAGGTTGTGTCCTCCCCGTGTTCCTTCTACCCTTTAAAAGTAGCCCCTTCAGGTTCAGATTTGTGACTTGCTCTGCCCCGCTTCAGGAATTAAATCCTTGGAGATTCAGACAAGTGTCCTTCCCTTATTCCTGTGCCTCGGTTTCCCCATGCTCTGTGCCCTGCTGCGCTCCCCACGCTGCAGCGATCACCGCCCCCCGCACCAGGCTGGGCAGAGACTCGGGGGTGGCCGCTCGCGTGTGGCCCTGTGGGCACAGTGGGACAGCTGCCAGCGAGCCTCCATCCCTGGCCACTGAGAGCCAGACTCACACAGCCTTGAAGTGGATGAAGCATGTAACTTAGGCAGACAGAAGTCGTGCAAAAGGCAAGCAGGATGCCAGCTCAGTTCTGCAAGGCTGACAAAGCAGAAGTTATTGTGCAAAAAATTATATTGGTCTTACTCCAAAGTGGGGGGCAACAAACAGGCACCTAAAAAAGACATGTTGAAGACAGAGTCCAAAGAATCATATGAGGACTTCCAATAAGGGGTGCAAATTTGTAAAATAAAGTAATACATACATATCAAATAAGCAGGGATAACTAATGAATGCGTATTCAGTGTGTAAGATAAAAACTCTGTTCACCTGACACTTAGGGCACTCGATTAAAGGAGGAATCCTCTGAGTGACCAGCATGGTGTAATAAGGAATTCCTACTTTCTAATACTCAAAGCTGTGTTAGAAAGTTTCTATTTGGCCAATTTCAATAATAACCTCTCCTATTACAGCTTTGAATTATTCTCTTGTGCCCTGTCACTGTATGCCAGGGAGATCTTTAACAGCATGATGAGACACATGGCCACAGACACATGATGCAGGTGACCAACGGAGAGCAACCATGGGAATGCAGAAGTAAGAAACAAGAGATTATATTTCTTTTTTTTCCTCCAACACCATGTACGTACAGGGAGGCCTGTGGTGACAACACCTGGTGGAGAAGGCTGATGTTGCCAGCCTGTGGACTGTGACATCCCTTAGCAATGGGCTGTGACCTTACTTCCCCCACTGCTTATCTTGGGGTGACCAGAAGGTGAAATACCTGTTTGGCTGTCATTGGCGAGTGGAGGCTGGTGTCACTGTGACCTCACAGAAGGAATGGATGATGACATCGTGTCCCTTCACTGCTTATATTCAGTTGGCAGAGGCTGGGCCAGTCTGGCTCCAGCCTGAACTCCATCCAAGCAACATTGTGAGGACTGGAGGATCAAGCCAGGCTACTCTAGTGCTGGGTGATGGCTGTTACTGGCAGATCTTGGTGCCAATCTCAGAGCCATCACTCCTGTTTCACTGCCCTGCCTGCTTCAGGCAGCCAAGCACTGCACATGCAGAACTGAGGGTGAGCTGTGCAGGCAAATGTTCCTCTGGGGTGGCTGTGGGGTGCATGATGGGACTCAGGGAGCTGGGAGGGTGGCCTCCTCCAGGGGCCTGGTCACTTCTTCCTCCCTGTCCCAGGACAGCCAGTGACCATGGCCTCTCCCTCCTGAAGGAGGTGACAGCAGTGAGGGCAAACGGTCCTCGATCTTCATCTCTCCACAGCGTGCTGCAGAGCACAAAAATGTCCACAGAGACCAACAGCAACTGCCCCATCTGCCAGGACACTTGTGAGGATGTGGCTTCTACTCTGCCCTGTCACCACCAGTTTTGCCTGGGCTGCATTCTGCGGTGGACAGAGAGAAATCCAGTGTGCCCACTCTGCAGAAGAACAATAGTGACTGTCCAATTTTCTGATCATGGAGAAGACGACTATCTGGAGGCATCTATCACAGTCCCTGAGGAGCTGCTAGATGTCAGCAGCCAGGGAGAGAGAGCTCTCGGCAGCCTGGATGAGAACAACTCCCATCCTCCTGTGGTCTCTCCTTCATCTTCTCCACAGGGGACAGTGTCTCCAGCAGAGCAGGAAGGATCAGGGCTGGAGTTTGTGGGCAGCATCCTGCCTGAGGTCTGGGCAGAAAGTTTCCGTCAACAACAGCATCTCCTGGACTCCATGCGGCCCTGGCTGCATGAGAGGCTGGAGGGAATATACCACGGCTGCTGGTGGGTGGTAGATGCCATAGAGAGCAGCATCTTGCATGGCCTTTGCGTCCATGGGCCAAATGCTGAGTTGCTGGTCGAGGTGCTGCAGCCTCTCCTCAAGGAACACACGGCACCACTGATCCATGATGTGATCAGCATCATTATGGGCCAGTGCCATGAGGAGGCCCAGAGGCTTCTGCACTCTAGTGCTGTCAGGGATGAGAACACTGGCCCTGTGGCCAGCTCCAGGTCTAGCTCCAGCTCCATCTCCAGATCCAGCTCCAGCAATTCCAGGAGCTCCAGTTTCAGCAGCCAGAGCTGCAGCTGCAGTTGTAGTTGCAGCTCCAACAGCTGCAGCTCCAGCAGTTCCCAGGAAGGGACTCCTGACAGCAGCCCCACAGACTCTGATGAGGAGGAGGAAGCTGGTACATGAGGGGCTTCCCCCTGCCCAGGGCAGCAGTCATAGCCCCCCTGCTCCTAGGGCAGAGACTGATTGTCCACTGAGCCCCAGCATATCTGACTAAAGAGGGGGCCCTCCTCACCAGTCCTGTCAGAGGCTGACCCACTGGCAGCTCAAGCAGGACTCTTGCAATCCTTTATTCAAGGAAAAATAAATAGTTATTTCCCTCACAAAATCTCTGTGTGCTGCTTTCTCCCTTCTAATGCCCTTCCCCTTAAACCCCACTGTGGGTGACTCTCAGGTGCTGGGGGGCACAGCCAGGGGGTCCCAGAGCCATGGCAGAAGCAGCTCTTCCCACAGCTTCCTGCTGCAGCTGCACGCCCACAGAGCAGCAGATGCCATAGGCAGAGCGGGCATCAGGGCAGCTGAGGACAGCACAGGACCATGCCCTCACCCTACCTCCATATTTTCTCTCATCTGCCCCCTTGGGAGAGGGGGGTGATAAAGAGGCTTTGGCCAGGGTCCATCCAGGGTCAATCCACTAGACTTTTCACATCTTGTCCTGTCCTGAATGCCCCAAGGGCTACTGCATAAACAGTTTAATTTGTTCAGGACCCCACTTAAAATTATTCCTCCATGTCACATCTGACTGTACTCTGGAATACACATTCTTCAAAAACCCATGAGGCCTAGGAAAGTTTGTGGCTCCTTCTTGCTTGTGGTCGGTGGGGACAGATCTGCTACTTTGTTGACGGAATTCATTGGAACTGGATGATATCCATCTTGACATTTTACTCCTAAAAGATTAATTTCCTCGGAAATTCCCTTGACCTTACTTCATTTTATGACAAAACCAGCTTTCAGGACGATCTGGATTTATCTTATCTCCTTTCCAAACACTTCCTCTGCTGTGCTATCTTATACAATGTTATGATGGATGTACCACAGATATGCTGTAGCACACCCTTTTCCAGTGCCATGGTAAATAGTGGGGCTGTGTTTCCAGCCCTGGGACTATACTGGATTCCACTGCAGGTGAAAGCAAACTGTGCCTGCACTCTCCTGATCAAGGAATGGAGAAAAATGCATGAGTTATGTCTATGGTGGTACCACTTTGCTGCCATGGACTCCAGTTCACACTAAGGACTGAGCACGTCCAGCATGGCAGCACTTGGTGATGGTGTGACTTCATTCAGGCTGTGACACTCCACTGCAAGTCTCCACTCTCCCTTAGAGATACGCACAGGCCATACAGGACTATTAAAGGCTTGCTGAGCACTCCTGGGTTCTCCAGTTCATGAACCACCTCATGGATGGGGGACAGGCAGTCCCCTGGGGCAGTATTTTTGACAATGCACTGTTGTGATTGCGTTCAGTACCTGTTGTTCTTTGACCCTCAGCAGCACTACAGCAGAAGCGTCCCCTGAGGCACCAGGGACCAGCTCTCTAATTTCCTGTCTCCATAGCTGCTATCCCAAGAGCCCAGTGATGCCATTTTGGGTCCTTGAAATACCCTCTGCTGAGGTAATCTATGCCAAGGATACACAGGGCCTCTGGGCCATGGCTGTTTTGCCATTTGTAGCTGGTTGAGCTGGGCTCACTTCAGCTGCTAGTACAGTCAGCTGTTGGGATTTCCCCTGCCACTCCAGAAAGAGAGATGGATTCTGCCCCTACACAGCTCAATGGCATCAGAGTACATTTTGCACAGGTGTCAACCAAAGCCACCTGCTCTTGTGGGTCTGCCGTGCCAGACCATCAATCCACACAGTCCTGGAGAGTTGACTGTCTCTTTCCTCCCCTCAGCTGGGGGCAGAACCCCTCTAGTCCTGGTCATAGTACTCACTACTCACTTCTAATAAATATGACCTGGAGGTCCCTACAAGAGGATCAAAGTAACATCAGCCCTTCTATTCTGTTTGAGAACTTGCCCACTTGAAACTAGAGCAGATTTAACCTTGCAGAATTTCCTGCGCTGGTGTCAGAGACTGGTAAGATTGATGTTTTGAGAGCTTTTGGGATACGAGTGTGTGGAGGAGGAAAGGTCAGGCCTTCCCCAGGCAAGGCAGTGAACTGCCTCCAAAACCCCAAAGGGCCTGTATCCCTGCCTGGCTGAGCTGCCATTCATTGGCACACTGGAGGAAATGCCCCACACTCCTGACCCAGCTTCTGAGTGGCCAGTTGACCAGAAGTCCCACCTGGGGGGCTGGGCCCATGAAAGCCGAGGGGTATGAAAGGCTCAGCACGAGGCCACGTGTCCTGATACTACCTTCATCTTGAAGCATCTATCTGGGCGCTGCTGGAACTCAGGAGTTTGCATCTCTGTGTGTGCTTTGCTGTATATTTTCTCTCTTTCTCTTCTTCTTCTAATTCCCTCTTCTTGTAACATTTTGAGTAACTTAACATCAAACAGGTTTAAAGTTCGCCAGGTGGAATGGGTCAAGTTAATGCTCTGAGAAGTTATGTTAAGTGCTTTTATGTTAAGTGCTGTCCCAAACCTTTTGCCAAAGCTCGCTGAATTTCTAAAGTTTGCCAGTAAAGTTGTTTGTACCTCTTGAGAATATTTTTTTTTCCCATGCCTTTAACCCAGAGTATAAGAACCACTGTAACCATTTTCAAAAGCCCTTTCCGCAAGTTAATTGGGGCCTTACAGATGGCCGTTCTTCCTCTCAATTCTCTCAACACGTTTCTTTGCTTTCTCTGTGGAATTCCAGCCTCCAGCCCTCATTTGGTTACCCTTTTGCTAAGGACAGGTTTCAGCATTAAATGCCAGCTTTGCTGGGGAAATTAGTAAATAACTTCAAAACATCTCCAATCAAGTTCCACAAGTCAAATGGGCAGGTACATTTCACCAAAAACAATATCTCAAAAAAGCAGCGGCTGTCCACTTTTCTTCATCTAGATTAGGATATACAACAGATACAAATGTTAACTTCTTAAGATTAATTCAGTTATCAGACATGAACTTAATCAACACTGCCACCACCACCACCAACAAAAAAACTTTATTCAGAAAGGAAAATGTAACTGGCTTAGAAGCACATATTGTAAAGACAAAACAACATCATACATTTACATTCCTACGCATTTTACACTCAGTATTAAGGTGTTGGCTTGTTGAGTTTAACCTGCAATTCCATGAACAATTATGTACCTTAGGAGGGCCAGAAACAGGATGTTAAGGTGAAACAGATATTTTTGGAGTTCACTTAAGTTAACAAAATGAATTAAGCATTTATATTCTAGCTTGTAGAGTTATGTGTTGAATTTCAACCTTTTACTTAAGAAACCTCTGCCATTGTACAAAAGGGCATAAGAAAATGCAAATTTCTGAAGCTTCTTGCATAAAAAACAATACCAGAAAGGACCAAAGACACAAAGAACCCAGATAAAGGAGCTCCTCTGTCCCTAAGCCTGCCGAGACTGACAGACTGTACTCAGATAAGCACCAAAGGACCAAAAGTGCACGTGCACAGGAGAAAAGTTCCAAAGTTCAACCAGGAAGAAGACCATGATCTTCAGCCTCAAGAGACCACCAGAGACCCCCACAGGACCACCAGGGCAAACCACGCGTGCCCAGAAGGGTGTGGACCTATTTAGCATGAGAGGCGAGGACAGGTGGGGCCAAGGGTTGAATATGCATAGAAAAGTTGTGCAGTGTATTGCATGCGGAACACCTGTGTGAATAAAGCTCAGTGCACAAGTCTTGGAGAGCGATCTCACTTGCGCTGAGCACTGACAATACATACTCACTTCATAACTACCCCAAGTTGTGGAGTCTATTTATTCATTCTGCGTATCGCTTTAAAGGTATATATAAACAAGAAGTGTAGTGGTTTTCTTCTTGTTGCTGACTTTACTGACATTAGGGCAGAATATTCAGGATTTACAGTGACAGTGCAGATCTTACTGCATAAGGGGCAGTGACATGGAAAAGGAATTGCTTACAGCCAGACCAGTTAGAGGCTGTTTCTTAATAAGTTTGTTTCAAGTGCCACAGAACAAAGTTCTAACTTACAACAGAATGTGAAACAATGCAAAGATTTTGGGCAAAACCCTCATCTACCTCAGCCTTAATGTAGAACCTTGTCCATGGGGATATTTTAATGTGACACAGGGAAAAGTGCTACAAAATGCCAATAATTAAATGATCAATGCATCTGAGGCAGATGTTGATCAAGCAAGGTCATGCCACACTAATGGTCTGTACAGGATGTCTGTGATTCACCAGCAGAACACCATTTACCCACTTCCCAAAAAACTCTACAGGTCTTGTGAAAGTACAGAATACAAATGTCTTGTTTAGGTGCATCTCCTGAAAGACATCTCAAATTTGTTTTTCACAGGATTCACCTGTAAACCAGCACTCTATTACCAGGATTGTTAGGAGATGGCACTTGCACAGAGCCACATCAAATAATTAAATATGGGACTTAGAAAAGCAAACAATGCAGTTCTTTGTGTCAGAGACTGCCCTTAAGCATTTTCACACCACAGTTCACAAGGACAATTCAATCCTGATGGCAATGACTCAGATCTGCTGTAGCCTAAAACATAAAGACAAGGTCACTGCAGACAGGTTTTACTCAAATGTTGAGATTAAAAAAAAAAAAAAAAGGCAATAAAAAAGCAACACAAAATTTGAAACAGTACAAACTAGAAGCAAGCAATAAATAGAGATCCTTGATGCGCCAACTTCCAGATACCGAAAATCTTGTTAATAATAGATTGCCTATACACCTAGAATATTTCTAAATGCTATGTTAATTGAAAATTTATATGCAGAAGTGACTGACTACATCACTAAATATATTTTACACTACTACAACAAAAACTCCAGTATCCATTATTTAATGGAATCTTTATTTTAAAGTACCACAATGGGCCTGTTCAAAACTCTATGCTAGATATTCATAAAATATTGGAAAGAAAAGCCCCAAAACAGAACTAAACCCCAAAACACAGAATTAATTAACCCTAACAACAGTTTGGAAAGCCACTACTATTTGTGAACAAGAGATGCTCAACTCCTCATTTTTTTCTTCTAGCAAGTTACTCAAAACAATTCATATTCAGCAACTGCTCTGATTCACTCTAACACTGAGCCAAGAGTCACCTCAGGGACTGAATCAGTGAGGTGGGTATTTGCTTTATTCAGTGCCAGGTACGTGGGGGATTGCTCCTCCTAACACACACACTCAGCACTTTACACAGCACAATTTATGGTTAA